AAATTTCGTTCGATTTCGTATCAATACTATCCTTAAAATTCGTAATTTTGATTGGGTGGGAGGATCTCGGAAGTGATATGCAATTTGTGTAACGATGACGGTCGCTCCTGTTCCTTGACACACACCCTCTAGCTCACCCACAAAATTTTTTCCGGCGCCAATTATGTTCTAACAAAAAAAAATTCCTTGCGAAATTTTGGTATAACCTATGCCCATCCCTTGACTTTAATCTTATGATATTTATTGCATTAAATCTTTCGCTTATTCGATTGTTTTGATTTTACGTTACACCTGATCTTTCGATCTAATTGGCTAAAAATCACGTGCCGGAAAAATTTTGTGGGTGATATCTACGGAGAGTCTCTGTCCTCTGATACGCACTCTAGGCCTTTGCTTAAGCCATAAATGTACTTAGGCTACAAGTAAAAAAAATCAAAACACGAAAATCTGTAAGTACAGTATATCTTCTAGTAGTAGTGCCCCTTTCCTTTAGGTTGCCTTTGTGAGGTCACCCACGCTATTGTTTTGGTGCAGTGAAAGGTGTTATCGTTAGGAAACAATACAAAGGTGATTGTGGACTCTCACATTGAAGGGTGGTTTGTTCTGTCTCCACAAAGGATAATTACCTCTGTGAGGTTCGTCTGGTTATGTCACAGGGAACTCAGTTTATTCTGCACTAATGATATTCGTCCATTTTCCACAAAGGTGATTGTGGATTCTCACATTGAAGGGTGGTTTGTTCTGTCTCCACAAAGGATAATTGTCTTTGTGAGGTTCATCTGGTTATACTACAGTGAACTCAGTTCATTCTACACTAAAGATGTTTAGTCCATTTTCCACAAAGGATACACAATCTAATGGAGTTTCTTTGAATAATGTCCACCAATTCTAAAGGAGGAATTGGTTAGGTTCTTTATTATGAAAAAACTTACGTTCATTATATTATTAACAAGTATATATTACTTAGTAAAAACCATTACTAATAATAATTTTTTTTTATATACTAAGGACAAAAATAAAGAAAATAATCCATCTACCGAATTTAACAATGAAGATAAACTTTACTACAAGATAGTATCGAAATGTTTTCGCTAGAAGCAGGTGTAACATAAAATAACAATAAATGAATTTAAGGAGCTGGCTTCTTTTTTTTTTTTTAACAGAAATCTTACTTA